CTGGGATTACGGATACATGCCACCATACCTGGATACTTTTTGTATTTTTAGTAGAGATGGGGTTTCATTATGTTGACCAGACTGCTCTTGAACTCCCGACCTTAGGTGATCCTCCTGCCTCAGGCTCGCAAAGTGCTGGGATGACAGGTTTGAGCCACCGTGCCCAGCCTAAGTGGTAGTTTTCATGACTAAATACTTCTCCAATTGGTGTCTACTTTTGGTCATTTTCCAGTTACCTGAAATTGATTATTTTTAAAAATAAATATGGTTGTCCAGTCGTATATTTATTTCTGCGGAGGGCACTCTCCTAATCTCCTCACATCACCGTTACTGGAAGATGTGTTTTGGGACCTTTGTCCCTAGAACCCAGCACTGTGCCATAAAGCAGCACAGAGACCATATGGAGAGACCATGTGCAGGTTGTCTGGCCAACAGCCCGGCTGAGATCCCAGATGACAGCCAGCGTCCACCTGCCTTTGGACGATTCTACCCCAGCTGTTGAGTCACCCCAATGTGTGAACCTTCCCAGCTGAGGCTCCAGGCATTGTGGAGCAGAGAGGTCACCACTGCTGCACCCTTCTCAAACCCTTGACCCACAGAACCAGGAAAATAATAAATTTTTTTTAATGCTACTAAGTTTGAGGTAATTTATTAGGCACTAACAAATAATTTGGGAGCTTTGGAGTATGATGACTGGAATAATTTCCCTAAATTGATGGGTGACTGAGTATAGAACTGCAGCATCCTTTTCTAACATCATTTAGAAGGGAAATCAGGTTCCATTTATGGGTTTCAACTTTTAGCATTGTGTTCTGATGCAGAACCAACTGGTTTGCCTGCTTTTTAGATCTACTGCCACTCCAAATGTTTGATTCGTAACATAAATCCTAGTCATTCTTCATACCGCTGAAAACTCCAAGTGAAGAAAAGATGTTTGTAATTGTTTATGAAAAACATTCTATTTCTCTGGAAAGGATTACTGCAAAATTCAAGTCTAATTTTGCCCCCATAAAATATGTTGTAGTGGGAAAAGTACTGGGCGGGACAGTTGGAAAACCTGGATTGGAGTCTGGCTGCATGAGACGGGACTGGTCACAGATATTCTACCAACCTCAGTACTCTGAAAAAACAAAGGATTTTTGGCTAGGCAATTTTAAGGACATTTCCAGTGCTAACATTTATGAGTTCTAAAGGCCTGGCAACTCCTTAAACGTTCCTGCCTTTGTGAACAGAATTTGGCACGATCTTTTAAAATTTAATATTTGCACATTCTTCATCCCAGCAATTTTATTTTTAGATATCTGGCCAACAGATGTACTTGCAGAAGTGTATCAAGGTAGTTCAAGGTGTTCATTACTGTATTATTTATAATAGGAAAAGATTAGAAACAACCTTAAATCAATGCGGAAATGACCAAAGAAACCATGATACATCTTACTGTTCAATGCTGTGCAACAGTTAGAAAAGAATGAAATAGGCCTATAGGAGCCATGTGGAGATATGGTCAATACATAATGTTAAGCAAAAAAGCAAGTTGCAGAGCAGGCATATGGGAAAATCATGTTTTTGTAAAGTGAAACAAACCCAATCTATTTATTTATGTATATACACAGGACTGCAAGGAAACACAACACAGATTTCAAGTTGTTTTCTGCCTGTGGTCATTTTGAGTGATAAGAAAAGGCTCTCTTTGGTCAAGATGTCCGGTTTTATATTTATTTCTGTGGAAAGAATTCTCTGGACCTCTTCATGCTTGGTGGGGGGAAAAAGATGGAGGTGGGCCATAAAGGGGTGTTCATGGGTTAGAGATTTCTGTGTTGCTTAAATTTTTAATGGAGGTGTATCATGTCGTTATGTCATTAAATGCATACAGAAAAGTTTATCCTCTGTTGTGAATTTTGTTGCTACTTTCTGAAGCCAAAGTTTTGGTTCAGAGAAAAGAATTTCTAAATGTCCATGAAGTTATTGTTTGCCTGGGAGAAAAAAAAACAAAACAGGAGCAGCTGCCAGGGTTGAGAGCATGTTGCCAGTTGAGCAAAACAGCAGGGGGACCTGCTGGTCACCAGATTTGTCCACCCCCGTGCAGGTACCACTGCTGTTAATAAGAATTACTACTTACTTAAAAAAAATTGTGAGATAGGGGACTAATACAGACTATCTGTTGGTAATAAACCATGGGAATATATATGACCCAGTTATTTAGATGAAACATAGTTCTGTATTCCTTTGATTACCACTTTTGTTGTAAAGAACTTAAACATTGCTGTGTAGAAAGAGTGATCCCAGAGCAGCTCCTGTCTGGTGTTTAATTAAACTATAATATGTGGTAAAATAAATTAAGCATCAGTGAAATTACAAGTAGCATTGTGTGTGGACTGGGATGTTTTAAAATGATGCATTCATAAGAGTATTTTATCTAGACAAACTGAAAATGTCCCAACCTCACCATTTTTAATCCTTTCTTGAAAGCACTCTTGTGCAAGTTATCTTTGTTGAAGGAATGTGGTTGAAGATGGAGAGCATTTAGTTAAGAGTTATAGAAGCTGAAGGTGGTAACAAAAGAAAATTTAAACTCACTTTACAATTGGTTTCTGAATATTATATTTTAAAAAGTATATTTTGATACCTTTCTTTTGTTTTGTGTCTCATAGCCAACAAAATTATGTGGTCACATTAATTAATATAGTTATGATGACAATATCTTGACCTGTTTTTCTACCCACCTATTAAAAATAAACCATGGTACAGTATTTTGATCCATGCTAAAATCTAGATACTTACCACTGGTGCCCACTAGGGGTCATGCTACTTACACGGGGGAAGTACCGATTATAGTACGGGCATCGCTGTGTTGGCCGGATGCAGACAGGATTCCTTTGAGTGATTTTTGTTCATATTACTGTACAGAGGAAGACGGTAGTATTGCTTTTCTTCAATTAGTGCTCAGGGTTTCTGTCTTCTAAATATGGAAAATTATTTGAGGATTCATGAAAATAGATTTGAGAAAAAGCATTAGGGAAAGAGGCTTTTTTTTTTTTTTTTTTTCCCCATTTATTTTATTGCATTTTAGGTTTTGGGGTACATGTGAAGAACATGCAAAATTGTTGCATAGGAACACACGTGGCAGTGTGATTCGCTGCCTTCCTCCCCATCACCTACATCTGGCATTTCTTTTTTTAAGATGGAAGAAAGAAAACAAGAGTCCTGCCTGAGAGTGAATATTCAGTAGGCCAGGGGACATAAAGATGAGATAACTCGGTGGTTAAGATCACTGAAAAGAGGTGGAGGATCGCTTGAGCCTGGAATTGAGATCCGGCTGGGCAACAAACTGATGCTCTGTCTCTACAAAACAATTTTTTAAAAAAGGAGCTGGACATGGTGGCACATGCCTGTGGTCCCAGCTACTCGGGAGGCTGCGGTGAGTGAGGTGGGAGGATTGCTTGAACCCAGGAGCTCAAGGCTGCAGTGGGCTGAGATTGTGCCACTGCACTCCAGCCTGGGCAAGGGAGTGTGACTGTCTCAAAGAATTAAAAAAAAAAAAAGTCTGTCCAGTGTCTGACACTGAATCACTGTTCAAAAAATGAAAGCTACTTTTGGTTACCAAAATAGCTGCCTTCATTTTCTAACTTAAAATAGCCAAATTTCTTGTTAGTTTCTTTTCTGTGTTGTCAAGATGAGCAATTAGAAAGAGAAATTTATGTTTCCTTTTCTTTTAAAAAATCTTCCCTCTGAAAGACTGTATATAATTTAACACAAATTTGAGAAAGAAATTTACAATGGAAGGGGTAGGGGCGAAGGGTGGGGAAAGTGAAACAGGATGGCTTCTTTTCTCATCTCAAAAAAAAACAAAACAAACTTCCAATCCAGTAAGGGAGAAATGTTCACAGAGTACTAGAGTCAATATTCTAAAAGCTGTATAAATACAAGTAATGATAAATAGGGTGGATTGGTGGAAACTGTCTGCTTTTAAGTCTGACAGCCAAACATTTCATTCAAAAAGTTCTCTGAGTCTCAGTTTCAGTATCTGCTAAGAACTATAATAGTAGCCTTGCAGGATTGGGTGAGAATTAAATGAGATATTTGTAAAGCCCCTAACAGGTCTGTAGTTTGTTGCCTTTCTTTGTAAGTCAAAGTTTTTCTTTGACCTTCCTCAAAGAGGAGAAAATATGTGTGAGGAAGATGTTTCTCTTTCTGTGGGAGTTCAGAGAGAAAATTCCAGGTTAGAGAATCAGGGAATGCTTCACTGAATAGGTGCATTTGAATTGCATTTTAACGTTTGTGTAGGATTTTAAGCTGAAGAGTTAGAAGGAAGGACATTCTATATGGTGCGTATGGCTTGCATGTAAAGACCTGGAGTCACCTTGGTTTCTTTTGGAGCCCTGAGTAATTCAACTTGACAGGAATTATGATACATATAGGGAAAGAGTTGGATGAAGTTGGATTGAAATTTAGGGACATACCAAGAAAAGGCTTAAATGCCAGGTTGAAGAGTTTGGCCTTTTGGAGGAGGAAGGAGAGCAGTTGGTCATTGACTCTAAAAAACAGAGATATGGGGCCAGGCACGGTGGCCTACACTTGTAATCCCAGCACTTTGGGAGGCCAAGATGGGCAGATCACCTGAGGTCAGGAGTTCGAGATTAGCCTGGCCAACGTGGTGAAACCCTGACTCTACTAAAAATTCAAAAATTAGCTGGGCATAGTGGCAGGCATCTGTAATCCCAGCTACTTGGGAGGCAGAGGCAGGAGGATCACTTGAACCCAGGAGGTGGAGGTTGCAGTGAGCTGAGACAGCGGTATTGCACTCCAGCCTGGGCAATGAGAGAGAAACTCTGTCTCAGACAAACAAACAAACTGAAGAAAACTGAGACATGGGATTTTGAAAGAAAATTCTTTCCCCTGCATTTGGGATGAGGCTGGGAATAAATTTACTCATGAGCAGGTATTTATAACATATATTAACTTTCATATATATTTATGTATTTTTTCCCTTTTACTTGCAGAGAGCATCTTTCAACTGAATCTAACATGGGCTGGCACTACAGGGCTCCCAGGAACCAGACTCTACTGCCTACATAAAGCTCATATGCCAACATGTTGCCTTCTTTCAGCAAAGATGATCGGTTCTCAGAAATCAGGAATGTCAGAGGTAACTCTGATAAAAACAGCAGGCTCTTTTGCCTCCATATGCATGTTTCACCTGGAAATTAATCGGCTACTTTGTCCCTTGGCAGGTGTAACTACAGTTTTAGATCCTCACCGTGATACAATGTCCCTTACACTAACACTCAATAAATTACTCTTTCTTTTCATCTAATAGATGAGATCAGGTTAAAATGACATTTCGAGTAAGGAAAAAAGTCACACAAAACACGCCCCTTAAGTTGTTCTGCCGTGAGGAAGGACCTTCCTATTCATGTGGTTTGGGATGAATTTCAAAACCCCACTTGTGCTTATTCTGCTCTACACTTTATTTATTCTGGAGACAAAGGAGAATGAAATTCTTGGAAAAAACTTTTTGAAATCCCACTATGGGTAGCTGGTGGATCACAGTGCTAGAAATACCAACAAAAGTAATATGTTGATTCATAATGATTTATTCTCTGTAATCTTGGGGGCCTATTCTATTATCTCAAACCCCAAGAAAGGAACAGAAGAAGTTAGTTATAAGTAGAAGGAATTCCCATACTCATTACTTCTTCCCACAGTGTTCAGCTATATTTATCAGGACAACTTTGCTAGGTGATACTGTGCAATCAAACAGGAACACAGCTTTGGAGGCAATTAAGGCAGGAGACCAGGTAAAAATAAAGCCTTAGAAAGAAACACCAGATATTGAATGCCTACTTTCAAACTGCTAGGGTATTCTTTTTGAAAAAAAGGCACATGTTTTATATGTGTATGTGTTCATGAGTGTGTCTTCCTCAAGGTAAATGAGTATCACTGTAGACAGATTCTTACTTTATAACCCCCAGTGAATATTAGTCAGACAGGCTGTATTCAAGTGAAACAGTATAAATACAGTATTGTGGTTGGGGTTGATTTATAGGAAGGCAAACGTGGTTGATGGCCTTGTAAGGTCCATTAATGTGTGAGTCCTCTTGCTGGAAATCAGGAGATATGTGGAATGGAGAATAATGTGATTCTGTTGGCAGGTGACAATATTTAAGTATTGTTACGGTTTACAAAACCCTTTCACATATATTATCTTAACAGCTCTACCCCTTAGTGTAGCACACTCAGGCAGAAAAAAAATATGTTAAAGCTCCTTGCAAAGAACCCTACTAACCTGATGGCCCACTTGGGTCCCAGACCAATCTTTCACAATAGCTGAAGGAGTCCTCTAACTTTGTAAAAGAGTAAAAGGGTTTGTTGAGACTGGCAGAACCCATTCTCTGGAGTGCATAATTTACAGTTTACCAGTTAATTTAAAATTAAGTACATGTACCAAAAATGACAATTATGATAAAGTGGCTATGGGATCACCTCCAATCCCTCTTCACCAGAGAACTGGTAAAACCCTTAGCAGCTTGAGCTCCGGCCAGATTTTTCCCTTTCATCGACCTGTCTCTGCACCAGTTGCTGATCCTTTGTGTCTACTATTATGTCCTTCATCCCAAGTAAATCACTTTGGGAAGGGAAGATACGAAAAAGGCTTACGGAAAACTCAGATTTTCCAATGGAAAGTACTCAAATTGTAGACCAAGTTCAGGATCTTTATAATTATATAATTAGGGTTCTAGTGCTCGCTCTTTCTGACAGGAACACTGGTTTATGCAGTGCTGCAGGGAAATTCATGACTCTATTAACCAGAAATCTGGCAACCCAGGCTTCGCATCCTCTTTCCCTACCCACTTGGTTGCAACTATTTTCCAACTGGCCTCCATTGTATTCCAGATCACCAAAAGCTAGGACAGTGAATGTTGTGGGATTGTTAACAAGGTAGTCTCAACCATGGCATTCGCGACATCATTTCTGCTGGCTTAATCCTGAGAATGTCCAGGAAATACAATAATCCTATTTTGTTTCCCTACAAAAATAGTCTATATGTGCCAGGCCCACGGTTCACAGTAGGAGGTACCTGAATTCTGCTGCAGTCCATCAGTTGAAAAGCCTGTGCCTGCTACTGTCTACAGTGAATTTTGTTTGAATTGAGAGAGACTCTGCCCAGGTTGGCACTTGACATTCAATACAAATTTTAACAATTGTCTTGAGCTTTATGAGTTTAGGGAACTTGTTTTAATAATCTGATTTTTAGCAGAGGAGAGCTTTAGATCATCTAGTCTTAGGTGTTTTTGAAATGTAAATGTGCAGAGACAAATCTTATTTGTTTTTTGAGTGTTAAATGCATTATTGAGAACATGAATGTTTCCGGCCTCCACTGGGTTTACTTTCTTTCTTGGGTAGTAGACCAGTCCTCCAACTCCACTAACCATTTGCTAGAGAAAAACCAATTTCACTTCTGGCAATAAAGTTCTTGGACAGATTTGATTTTCTCTTGATGAAAATTAATATTCGGCTGGGCATGGCAGCTCACACCTGTAAGCCCAGCACTTTGGAAGGCTGAGGTGGGTGGATCGCTTGAAGCCAGGAGTTTGAGACTGGCCTGGGCTATGTGGTGAAACCCCGTGTCTACTAAAAATACAAAAATTAGCTGGGTGTGGTGGCGGGCACCTGTAGTCCCAGCTACTTGAGAGGCTGAGCCAGAAGAATCGCTTGAACCTGGGAGGCGGAGGGTATAGTGAGCCAAGATTGCACTATTGCACTCCCGCCTGGTGGCAGAGCGAGACTCTGTCTCAAATGAAAAAAAAAAAAGGAAAAAAGAATATTGTTGTTATTATTATTATTATTATTATTTTTGAGACAGAGCCTTGCTCTGTTGTCCAGGCTGGAATACAGTGGCACGATCTCGGCTCACTGCAACCTCTACTTCCCAGGTTCCAACAATTCTTATGCCTCAGCTTCCCAAGTAGCTGGGACTACAGGCATGTGCCACCACACTTGGCTAATTTTTGTATTTTTAGTAGAGGTGAGGTTTCACCATGTTGGCCTGGATGGGTCTTGCTCTCTTGACCTCGTGATCTGCCCACCTCAGCCTCCCAAAGTGCTGGGATTACAGGCGTGAGCCACTGCGCCTGGCCATAATAGTCTTTTTCTGTTGGTGCCTTCTTTTCTCTGTGAAAACAGAGTAGAGTCTCAGATTCCCCCACCCAGCTCATGATTAGTCTACCTTTGTCCACAGAGAAGCTGGAAACTCCAGGTGGGCTTGGGCTGACCTTTGTGTAGTATTATACCACTGATGGGTTTAGAGTAGGTATTTCCAAGGTCTTATATTTAGTGGGTAAGATATTTTTAAAATTTCTGTTGATACATAGTAGGTGTATGTATTTATGGGGTACATGAGATATATTCATACAGGTATATAATGCATAATAATCATATCAGGGTAAGTAGGGCATCCATCACCGCAAACATTTATCCTTTCTTTGTGTTATAAACAATCCAATTATACTCTTTTAGTTGTTTTTAGTTATACAGTAAATTCTTGTTGACTGTACTCACCATGTTGTGCTGTCAAATACTAGATCTTATTCACTGTATCTAAGTATATTTTTGTACCCATTAGCCATCCCCACTTCCCCCAGCCACCCCTGCCCTCCCCTACTGCCCTTCCCAGTTTCTGGTAGCTATCATTCTACTTTCTATCACCACATGTTCACTTGTTTTCATTTTTTTTTTTAGCTCCCACAAATAAGTGAGAATAGGTAAAGTTTGTCTTTCTGTTCCTGGCTTATTTCACCTAACATAATGATCTCCAGTTCCATGCATGTCATTGCAAATGATAGAATCTTATTCTTTTTAATGGCTGACTAGTTCCCCATTGTGTATATGTACCACAAATGTTTGTCATTTGTATGTCTTCTTTTGACAAATGTCTTCTCAGATATTTTGCCCATTTTAAAATCAGATTATTAGATTTTTTTTCCTATAGAGTTTTTTTGAGCTACTTATATATTCTGATTACTAATCCCTTGCCAGATGGATAGCTTGCAAATATCTCCTCCCATTCTGTGGATTGTTTCTTCACTTTGTTGATTGATTCCTATGCTGTGCAGAAGCTTTTTAACATGATGGAATCCATTTGTCCATTTTTGCTTTGATTGCTTATGCTTTTGGGCTATTACTCAAGAAATCTTTGCCCAGACCAATGTCCTGGACAGTTTCCTTAATGTTTTCTTGTAGTAGTTTCATAGTTTGAGGTATTAGATTTAAGCCTTTAATCCACTTTGATTTGATTTTTGTATATAGTGAGAGATAGGGGTTCAGTTTCATTCTTCTGCATATGAATATATTCAGTATATTTTTTAGCATTATTTATTGACAAGACTGCCCTTTCCCCAATGTATGTTCTTGGCATCTCGGTCAAAGTGAGTTTACTATAAATGTATGGATTTATTTTTGGGTTCTCTATTATGTTCCATTGGTCTGTGTGCCTGTTTTTATGCCAGTACCATGCTGTTTTGGTTGCTATAGCTCTGTAGTATAATTTGAAGTCAGATAATTTGATTCCTCCAGTTTTTCCCCCCTCAGGATAGCTTTGTGTATTTTGGGTCTACTGTGGTTCAATGTAAATTTTAGGATTATTTTTTTCTATTTCTCTGAAGAACATCATTGTTATTTTGACAGGGGTTGCATTGAGTCTGTAGATTGCTTTAGGTAATATGGACATTTTAACAATATTGATTTTTTTCCAGTCCATGAACATGGAATATCTTTTTATTTTTTGGTGTCTGCTTTCGGTTTTTTGCATCAATGTTTTATAGTTTTCATTTTGGAAATTTTTCACTTCTTTGGTTAAGTTTATTCCTATGCATTTAATTTTATTTGTAGCTATTATAAATGGGATGACTTTCTTGATTTCTTTTTCAGATTGTTCGTTGTTAGCATATAGAAATGCTGCTAATTTTCGTTTGTTGATTTTGTATCCTGCAACTTTACTGAGTTGGTTTATTAGTTCTAATAGTTTTTGATGGAGTCTTTAGGTTTTTCCAAATCTAAAATCATATCATCTGCAAACAAGGATAATTTGACTTCTTCCTTTCCAATGTGGATACCGTGTATTTCCTTCTCTTGTCTGATTGCTCTAGG